GTTATTTAGCGTCAAATCAAATAAAAGTTTTTCATATTCCAATGTAACTATTTTAATTCCACGATCACGGTTAAACGTGTTGAATGCATCACATACTTTTTTACCAAATATGCTTTCCTCTTTGGTAAGCTCATCATATATCTTGAATATAAGTTCTTCATATTCCTTTACCAAACTATTATTCAACTCGATATATTTCAAATGACCATAGTACTTTTCAAGTATACAACGTAAGATAGGCTTTGGTAATCGTGCTAGGCAAGAATCTGTGTCTCTATAGATTACCTCACTGGTTTCATCACAGATCACGTTATGGTCATTTCTATATTCCCTGGTGTGATACGATTCTATAAATTTTTTTAAAGTTTTTATCAGTTCCCGAGCAACAAAGGTTACATACTGTGATATCACTGGTATAGCAATACCGAGATATGGTGAACCTAGGCCTTCGTATAATGCATTCCCGATGCTTTATACGCAAGTTGCTTCTGATCTAGTATATTATACATCATATCATTAATCCCAATATACTTGTCACGCTCTTTCTTGGCTTCTTTTCTCTTTTTTATCAGATCCGTGAGAATGTTTCGTATGATGCTTTCTTGGGTATCCTCATGGATAAAGTATATATCCTGATTTGTTCCCACGTTATTGTCTACGAGATGTACCACTTGATGTTTCTCATTGGGCTTTTCATACCTAAGCGTATTGGGTCCCATATTGTATTCACGCATTATCGACAAGTACAAACTTGCAAAATCAAGTACATAAATAGGATCCATGTAATATCTGGTCTCTGGGTCGATTACCTCTGCACCTTGAAATTTTTTCTTATCTTTGATACCATATGATACTGGCTTGTCATTATGTTCCTTATTATACTCCTTAGCTATAAGACAATTCAACATGCTTGTTTTATCACTACGGAGTGGTTGTGCATATTCACAGTTATAAATTATCTCATCTAATCGATATGAAACCAGTTTTTGCATCTTAATTATGCTCAATAGGACTGCCCATGAATCATAGAAGCAATATTCAAGGATGTCTGTACAAAGTTTTTCAACCCCCTCTTCTCCATGTAAATCATTGATAACTTTACCTTGTCTCGAATTGAGTTCTTCGATCTTGTTATGGTAATTCATTGAATCAACATTTAATTTTGTTATTTCATTTTGAATCTTGGCTGTTTCAATAGCAAGCAGTACAATCTCATCTATAACGTCTGTAACTCAACCTGATCTTGGAAGGGATCTCTAGAGTATCAAGCATATAATTTAAACTACTCTGACGGCCAGGGAACTCACGTTAAAATATTGTCATTGAGTCCCAGAACAGTGTTCTGTCAAACTTGATATAAGTATATTCTATCGCATCTTCACCCTGGGCAAGTATTATGTTTTCATTTCATAATACATTATATTTGAACATTTCCCTATAGATCATTTGTTTACTGGTCGCTATCCTATAAAATTCTTCTATCATTGTACTACCAAGCCATTTCAACCTTCGTATGATGAATGGCATATCAAATCCATTTGAATTATAGCCGATGATCACATGTGGTTTGATGTTATCCTGTATCTTTGCAAACGCTCAATAGAAGTTATGTTCCCTCCGAACTTTTATCATGTGTATTAGAAACTTTATAATATTTCCCATATTATCAATAAATATACGAATTGCCTCATGTTCACCCTTGACCATTTCTTCGTAATTTTTCTTAAAAAAATTTACCATGGTCTTTATAAACTCAGGGTTAACTTTTTGAAACTTTGTTATGTCGTTCACCATCTTCCATATTCTTTTCTTGATTTTCTCTTCCGATTCATATCGAAGTGGTGTATCGGTTCCAGTATCGAGCAGGCAAATCACTCCCAGTGGCA